CCTGAATGGACAGCAGCAAATGTAGGAAGCCACAGCCGCATAGGTCCACTTGATTTCCCTGTGGGCCGATTTGCAGTGGGTGAGTAGCCGTGTGGACCGGGGCACTGCGGGGAGCGTTGTGCTGGACTTCGCCCGGCCGTTCCTGACCGCAGCTCTGTGTCCGGCCCGCTCGGGGTCAGATTGGAGAGCTACCACCACTGGCCTTTTCCGCAGCCTCTAATTGGCGTGAAGGAGAGGGCTGCTCTGGGCAGTACCAGCCTGCTGCTGCTGCTGGGTCTGGCTCACTGCCTCATGGTGGGGTGGGGATGGAGGGGTCACGCTGAGTCATGAAAACAGCATGAATCAGGACAGATAATTCACTTTCCTCCTGTCTAACACTATGTAATGCAGTCATGTATGGATGTTTCAGACATTTTGGATCCCAAATGACCTTTTAATACAGACATGCTTTTGAATTTCTGGGGTTTCTTAGCGCTGCTAAGGTTTTTACTCCACAGGTGTGTGAGCAGGCCTGAGGAAGACCGATTGATGTGCTGAGGGTTTGACTGCTTCTGTTTTAGCTGCAGAATGCAGCATGGCCAGCAGGGGGAGCCATGATAATGACACTCAGTTCATGAAGCTGGCAGAGAACTAATTGGAATTAGCCCAGTGCAAAAGTTTGTATAGGTTCAGTAGCAAAAGTGTGCTGAGTTATTAATTAATTATTGAATGTGAATACAAACTAAAGGAAAAGGTCAGAAGCAGATATTTTGATCTTTTCTGTGCACTGTGATGTATAGAAGTAAGTGTTCATATAGACGTAATATGGGGAGACTAAACTGGATGGTTGAATGATGGTTTTATGTTTTATTTTATCTCTTCAGCCTTGTTTTTTCTCTTTTGTTTATTTTGTTTGTGTTTGTTCTTTTTATTTTCTGTAATAACAATCATATGTTAAAATATAGGTTTTCTATAAGGAACATTATAGGTTAAAATACATTTTTCTGTTTACTGTTTGTTCTAGCATTGTGCACTACAAATAAAATCATGGCAACCTTGTATAATCACTTTTTCCTTATTCTGTACCCGATGCATAAACAAGATGTAGATATGGATGACAAAGCATATTTAATTGCTTTTGGAAAATAACTGTGACTTAGAAATAACAGGTTAATTTATATTTTTTTCCTGAAGCCCACCATAATGTAGCCTAAGCTTCTCCATGTGCATACCCACAAGCTGTGTATACAGTACTAAATGGTATATTCAAAATCATAATGGCAGCATCGGTACTAATTTGACATGCTGTTTACTAAAGTATAGCGTCGCTGTCCAAGAAAAAACAAGCATCTCCAAAATAGTAACTTTACAGGAGAGGGAAAAATGTTTTTCATGTAAGACAGTGGAAAGAGATTTTTTTTTCTGTGCAGTTTTGGAGCATTTCTATTGGTCCGTTCATCATGAAATCCTGTACTCGAATGATGTAGAAAAGTAAAAATCACAAAAAATGGAGATACATGTTTTTCTTTGGACAGTGACGATGTGTGTTTTGAGACACAGCCGCCACATGATTGTGCGAGAGAGGTACCAACCAGGCAGTGGACAAATACAAATTGTCAGGTCCAAAATCAAAAATTGGCAACCCTATGACTAGACATGTGTCTTTGTCTAACTGATGTGTCTGCTGCCACTGTTTAAGGAAGTCTCTCAACAGCACATCTGAGATTCTGTTGCAAATTTACACATGGTTTTAAGAGAGAGGAAAATTGATGGTCATTGTGAGTTGCTTAGACTTTGTATCTAAATAAACTTTGTCTGGATTACATTTACACTTTTTACTAAAATGCATCCTGATGAGATTCTACTGTACTATTCCCATATAAAAAGCACATCAGCACATATGATTTCATTGTACTGTGGCGTCGGCACGGAGTAAAACACAGGGGAGGCCATCAGTACACCACAAAAAGTACTCAGGGCAGAAAGGCACATAACAATGCACTGAAATAATGGTGGAGGTCACCATTAGCCAGGTCTCTACTAAAGACGCAAAAAACTACACCCCTAGACACAATAAAACATAAATAGCACACAACACATCTTTGAGCTAATAACCAACCAACCAGGGTGCGCACCCCCCCATGAGCCTTCTTGCATAGCCCTTTGTATGAGATGTGCATCTTTTGCCATGTGCACGACCCATAAACTGCACGTTTAGGCTGATGTACACTTTCACGCATAACTTGCAGGCAGTGTCCATACGTTTAGTGCCTGAAACTGCCGCAAACGTCTCAATACATCCGGCCCCCTATGAGCTACATGGCTACAGGTGTGTGTGTGTGAGTGTGTGAGCATTGTATCAGTCTACAGTCTCTCCTGTGCTATCTCTGAGTGGAGCCACTCATGTAGAAGGACCCGCAGTGATGTCAGCATTTGAGTGCAGCTCTTCAGATAACGTCTCCTACAAGTGTGTGTGTGTGTGCTCTCCAGGCTGTGGCATGTCGATGAGGGTGGCGTCAGCCTTTGATTGGCCACTTATTGATCTGGAGTGTGACCTGTGTGAATTGCTGTAGCCCTTGTCACACAGACTCACCAGGAAACTACCCGCATACACTCCACCACACCAATACATAACTAAAGAGATGAGGAGGGGTCACACACACACACACACACACATACACACACAAACTCCTCTGTCTTAGCTATCGGCACGTGTCATGAGAGAGGAAGAAGGAGAGAGAGTGTTTGTGCGTGTCTGTGAAGAAAAGAGAGAGAAAGGTGTTGATTAGTGTCGCTCTGAACAGCCTCCTGCTTGATCATGGAGAGAGAGAGAGGGAGAGAGAGGGGATGGAGAGAAAAAGAGAAACAGAGAGAGGAATTCATGGGGAGAGAGGAATAGAGGGAGAAAAAGAGGGGGTACAAGGAGAGAGTGATAGAAAAACAAAGTCTCGAAAGAGGAATGGGATGAGTGAGATAGAAAGAGAGAGGAATGAAATGAGTGAAAGAGAAATAGAGGAAAAGAAATGAATGGAATAGAGAAAGAGACCACGAAAAAGGGGGGGGAGTGGAATGAGGGAGTCAGAGAAAGAGAGGAATAGAATGAGTTGGGAATGAGGGATGAGTGTGTGAGAAGAATAGAGGGAGAGCGGGGGAGAGTATGAGAGGAATGGAATAAGAGAGAGAGAGAGAGAGAGAATGTCAGTAGTAGAGGGAGTGAGGTGGCGCCTCCTCTAGCTCCCTACTGTCAATCCCTTGAAAAGAAAGTGTGAGGTGTTTAAGTGGGTAACCTCTTACACCCTCCATTACTCCATCTTTAGACACACACTCAACTCTCCTGACAGCACAGAAACACACACACACACATGGATGGGTCAGAGCCAGTGTCAGAGTCTCAAACAAATACAGCCTCCCTTCCAAAAAGTTGGGACGCTGTGCAAAATGTAAATGCAGTGTAGAATGCAATGATGTGCACATCATTTAAAGCTTATATTTAATTGAAAATAATGCAAAGACAACACATCAGATGTTGAAACTGAGAAATGTTATTGTTTTTTTATGAAAAATATATGCCCATTTTGAATTTGATGCCAACAACACTTTTCAAAAAAGTTGGGACGGGGACATGTTTACCACTGTGTTGCATCACCTCTTCTTTTAACAATACTCTAAAAGTGTTTGGGAACTGAGGAGAACAATTACTGTAGTTTTGAAAGTGAAATGTTTTCCCTTCCTTGCTTAATATACGATTTCAGCTGCTCAACAGTTCGGGGTCTGCTTTGCTGCATTTTTCGTTTCATAATGCACCAGATGTTTTCAGTGGGAGAGAGGTCAGGACAGCAGGCAGGCCAGGGTAGCATCCGGACTCATTTACTACCAAGCCATGCTACTGTAATACATGCAGAATATGGTTTGGCATTCTCTTACTGAAATAAGCAAGGACTTCCCTGAAGAAGTTGTTGTCTGGATGGCAGCATATGCTCCATCAACACGTATATTTCATTCAGCATTAATGGTGCCTTCACAGATGTGCAAGTCACCCATGCCATGTGCACTAATGTACCCCCACATCCTCACGGATGCTGCACTGATAACAAGCTGGATGGTCCCTCTCCTTCCTAGCCCAGAGGATGCGCCGTCCATGATTTCCTAGAAGAATTTCAAATTTTGAGTCCATCTTAAATGAGCTCAGGCCCAGAGAAGGTGGCAGCGTTTCTGGATCCTGCTTATATAGTTTCTCCTTTACACAGTAGAATTTTAATTTGCATTTGCAGATGCAGTGACAAACTGTGTTCACAGACACTGTTTTTTTTGGTAGTGTTCTTGAGCCCATGTAGTGATTTCCACTACAGAGCCGAGTGTTTTTAATGCAGTGCTGCTTGAGGGCCCGAAAGTCATGGCCATCCAGTATTGGTTTTCGGCCTTGCATACGGAGATTTCTCTGGGTTCTCTGAATCTTTTAATGGTATTATGTACCATAGATGATGAAATCCCCAAGTTTTTTGCTATTTTATTCTTGAATTGTTGCACTATTTGCCTGCACAGTCTTTCACAGAGTGTTGAACTCCTTCCTATCTTTAATTTTAAAAAGGATGCTCTTTTTATACCCAGTCATGTTATGGACTGCTGCCAGTTATCCGGATTAGTTGTGAGATGTTCCAGCAGGTGTTTTTTTAGCATTATACAACTTTACTAGTCTTTTGTTGCCACTCTCCGAACTTTTTTAATACATGTTGCTGGCATTAAATTCAAAATGGGCATATATTTTGCAAAAAACTAAATTTCTCAGTTTCAACTGTGTTTCATGGTTTTGATATGTTGTCTTTGAACTATTTTCAGTTAAATATAGGATTCTGTTTTTATTTACATTTTGCATATTGTCCCAACTTTTTTGGAAATGGGGTTGTATCTAAAACTGAGCATGAGAGTTTTTATCTCTGTGAACTGCATACTTTTCACTTTGCATGCATGGAACATTTATACTATTGACAGTTTTTTAACAGTGCATTTTTTTTTTTTTGCAGCAACAACGAAGGCTTGACCTGCTCACTATCACCAACCCAGGTAAGTACTATATGTGTGTGTGTGTGTGTGTCTGTGTGTGTTTGTGTGTATTTGTGTGTGTATTTGTGTGTGTGTGTCAGCACCGGCAGTCCACTACAGTACCTACACAGTCCTACACATCATTTGTTCATCATTATTACAACATCAACCTTCACAATACTGATATCATAGAAGGCTGCAAATGAGCTACTCACCAATTACTAAATGTTTTATTGTGTGTTGTGAGCATCTTGTTCCTGGTGTGTTTGGATGATGTAAAGAAGCATCCCAATTTTTTTTTCCATATTTCTACATAATTAAATCACTGAGATGTAAACAAAGTCACTCAGAGTGGTTTGGTGTGAAATGATGGTTTGTTGTAAAGAAACTTATTGACTTAGATTTCTTTAAAATGATGGTGATAGGAACCAGGGGTCACGTCACACATTAAAATACAGACATTTTATTTGGCTATCCGAAAATGACCAGTGAACCTACACTTGTCTTGTGGGTTTTTACATGCAGTGTTGATAAAGGTACAATAGTGGTCTGAAAGAAGTAACATATCTTCAAGTACTATTTTGCCATACAATGCCCTGCATTTGCTCTCCACCATGAGTGGATTTTCAAAAATACATTTTAGACCAAAACCTAATCCCAAAACTCATACATCAATGTCTCAGGCATCAAGCAGCGTATTCATAACCATTTCATGTAATAACTTTATGTAACGTAGCTTTAAGAGGCATTAAACGCTTTGGACATCTGGTTTCTATCACCACTACTGTGAGCAATTCTGAATTGGTATGTTTCTCTAGAACAGAGCATTTCATATCAGCCCACTCTGAATGACTTTGTTCCATTTAATTATTCACAAATGTTTGAAGAAACAGGTTTAACAAACAAATATTTTTGTGACAAGGTAATGCAGGCCAATCTCTGTGACATTACATCAAGGTTGCATCGATGTGTTTTAACACATTGTGAAGCATTTCTCTATCACAGTTTGTAGAAATATAACAATGTTGTATTTTGTCCATATCATGTAGCTCTAATGCCAACACATTTTTGTTTTGCTGTACTGACTTATTTTACTCTCCACACTTTGAGAATTTCCACCAGTGACAAATAACCAAATCACCCCTCAGTTGCACCTCTGACCTCTCTCTCTCTGTGTCTGCAATAAGACTGTACATCTCTCTAGAAGATCTGGTAGTGTCCTATGTGGATCTCAGACTCTTCTAGAAGCATCTGGGTGATGGCAGCCAGTGCAGTCAGAGCACAGAGAGGGACAGATGGGGGAGTCTGGGAGAATGCAGTGCCCATATGTCTAAAATATCTGGCTGCTCTAATATGCTTTGATTAAAATAATGTTTATGGGAGGCATACAGAATGGGCTAATTTCCACAGCTTTACATGGCATCTGTTCCCCAAACCCAGGTGAAAATGTGCTACTGACCTTCGCTGTTTTACTAAAGGCAAGCATGCCACACTTTAGAGCATCGTCTCTTCAAAAGTGAGACTTTTTCTCAGATTTGGGACCTCAGCAGCTTGCTTGCTTTTGCTGAATTCAGGTAATTGGTACTGTAACTGTGAAACTCCTAAGTGCAGATGATATTGGTAATGCACTTCTTTTCAGGACTGTATGCTTGTAGCCCAGAACTACTATATATTACAACTGCTGTTTACGATTATATTAGAAATCAAGTAACAGTTATTTTGACGTTTAATTGAAAAGTGGGGTGAGACTCAAGGCACTAGGGTGCCCCCACGAGCAATTATGATAATATCTATACTTCTGGCTTGATACATAGCAGGAATTTTGTTAGCAGTACCGCTAAAAAAATGAACTAAATTCAACCTTGTCATTGTGTTATGGCCTGATCATAATCCTAATGCACTCCACATCTTTCCTGAACATCTGCTTCCTTTTCTCCTTCAAATCACTGCATAACATCCACTTCCACTACCCACTATAGCCTTTCAGTGTTGGTCCTCTCGACCAAATTTGCTCCCCTACTATGCATGATTCTTACTGGCTAGTCTAGAATCAAACTGTCCTGTCCAAACATTAGATGGAAAGCCTACAAAAGTAGTCTCAGATCAGCAGTGAATGGCTTCATCAGCTGCCATCTGCAGGACTGATTACCTGTCAATAAGACAAATGAAGAATTTCAGCGCTGAAGGTGAGAAACAGTGTTACTCATTCCTTTTGCCCTGTAGAACACATCTCTTTATAAGCTGCCTTTATTTGTGCTGATTAGGATGCAGGATGCAGAAACAGTGTTTGTGGCTGCGGTAACCTTTGACCCAGGTTTATCCATACTGAGTGTGAGGGAAGCTTGTTTTCCTGCTGTATGGAAAACAGCTGGTGCTCTGAGATGGCTCAGGCAGATAAAACAGCAACAGGCAGGACACACTGACCTTCTGCTTGCACATTATAGAAAATTCTATAAGAGAGATTATTTATGTTTATATCTTTGTGTTGTGAGTGCACTGAAAAAGAAAAACAAGAAAGTGTTTGTGAAAGTGACATAGTGGGTAACACATCTGCCTTCCACACTACAAAGAGAGAGGTTTGATCCCCTGTCTGGGCAAACACCCAATGCTAAACCAATAACAATTTCTGGACCAATGCTGATAATCGATATATTACTTGTACATATCTTTATATCTTCGACATGCAAAACCGTCTTCTGTAATGGCCACCATGTTGTGCAATTCCATACATTTCATTAACTGTTTTTAATTGAGGTACACACAACTTTAAACTGTGATTAAACTTATTGTTTTGACTGAAAGGCATTCAGTCCCCTGAGTGCTACCAGTGTTGCGTTAAACTATCACTGTGAAACTCACTGGCTTTAGGTCCTTCATATGCCTCCCTGTCGGTGTTTCAGGTGCCAGAATGTAACTGCTGTACCATTTAAGGTGGAATGGGAAAAGTAAAACAAGGAGCTGGTGAATAAGAAACCTTATTCAGCTTCATAATTTTAATACTTGTAGCGTTACCTAGATGTTTATGTACTGAGCTACCTACCTGAGGAGCTGCATGTTTCGTGTGTGTGCGTGGTGCTGTGGGAGACATTTTGGCTGTGCTGCTGTATCATAGCCATGTTAATGTTGCTCTTCAGGCATACAATAAATGCGTCATCAAATATCCATTTGAAATATCTAAATATCTCTCAAACCCAAGCATGTTTAAGCATGATGATGTTTAAAAAGCAAATAACGGCCAATACCGAAATGATTGCAATATCATTGTGCATCCCTATTAACAGTTCTTGAGCAAAACTCCTAACACTAGGAATATTTTTCCCGTCTCTTTAGTCATGGCCAATTCTCTCCTGCTAGCTAGGTCTCCCCCAGTCCCACAGTGCTACCAAGCTGGGAGAGTGAAGGCTAGTATGTGCTAGCCCTAGTTACGTGACGCCAACCACCACATCTTTTAGAACTGCAGCTAACCTAAAATCTTTAAACTTGTGTCACTCATGTCAAACAGTGTAAAGTTGTAAAGCAATCTGAAACAGTTGCTTATGTGGTTTCTGACACTCTATGACATGCAGCTCTCTGTAAAAATGGACAGACAAAATTCAGGCTTTGAGGTGAGTGCTACTAGTTTCTATCAGTATTTCTTTATCTGTGTGGTATGCTTTTGTCCATTTGTGTAGATAACATTGTCATACAGTGTCAGAAACCACATAAGCAAATCTGACATAATGCAACAACACAACAGAGTTTGAGGTAAGTGTTTGACGATTTAGGGGCCGTTTAGGCGACACCTTTTGGAATAAGAAAATAAGCAGGATGCACTTCTTACAGGGTAGATTAATACGTTTGATTTATGCAGTACAAGACAGTGATAACTGAAAATGGAAAAATGTAACATTAAACATATTCAGAGTGTGGTAGTCTGTGTTGTGTGTTATACAGCATCAGGTGCACAGGCAAAACTAGCTTTTTTTGTTGGATGAGTGAGTAAAGAGAAAGTGTCTCTGATATTGATTGATTCACTGAGGATAACATATTCACTCTTCGCACTCTTTCATGTGTGTTCATGCACATATGCACTCTTGTGTTCAACACAGTGTGGGCTAATTTACATAGCTTTACATGGCATCTGTTCTCCAAACCCAGGTGAAACTGTACTACTGCCCTTCACTGCTTTAATAAAGCATTTTACACAAGAATTCACTGTTTTTTAACTTCAGTGCTCGCTTCAAAACGCAAATTGCAGTGCGTGGGCTAGTGGAGTGCTTTTCCATTGTGGTGCTCATTGCTCCATAAACAACAAAGGAAAGAATCACATCTGGGAAAGTTTGAAAAGTGTTCATGTGAACATCCCCTTAAGCATGGAGACTGCATGATGTTAATTGACCAATCCGTGCCCTGCCTACAAATGTGTTCTTTGATAGCAACAGTTGCAGATAAGCGTCACAGAAGAGTTTACATGCAATACATTGAATGTTGAAATGTTACACCGCTGAGCTGAGGTTGGAAAGGACAACAAAATTAGCCACTATGCTAACATTAGTTTGATTACCTGACTACACAAAACTACAATACAAGTCGACATTCAATCTTACAGTGTGACCTCCTATAAGCACACAAAACAAATATCATTTGATTTCCTTTTTTCCGTTTCTCATTAGGTTGAATAGGATTTTTGCCAATATTCTGCAAAGCTTGTCCTACATCACAGCAGTTTTTATGAAATGATGCATTTGTGGGCAGAGCAAAGGTAAGTTAATTGATGTATATTAGATTCCATTACTTGTTAGCTACATTAGCCTCATAGCTCCAGTGCAAACCTAAAGAAGGAATCATCAGACACCAGACATGTCCTGGCTGACCACCTACATTTGGGTGGAATGGGGAAAAATTATATTTTTTCCAGACTATCATTTTAATAGTAGCTAAAAAGATCAAGCGATAATTCTCTTGCTTGCTTTTTGAAGGTCTTTCGGGCGTACTCACTTGTGTGCCACCCCCATGCCTTGCCCCCTCACCTCTCCTGCCTT